ATTTCTAAGTTCTCTCTGCATATCATAGTTATAGTTCGTTAACGTATTGATACACTTCTCAGAACGCCAAATGTGTCGATTAACCCGCGCCCTGCTGGGGGGGGGGGTGTTTGAACACCCCCCCCCCTTGTGGTTTTTCGCGAATATCTCAAAAACGGCGGCGCGGAGCGCCGCCGTTTTTGGTACACCTTATCATACATCAATTCTACACATGTTGTGAAAATTTCAGACCAAGGTCATTCAAGGTCAGGTCACCAGGTCACTTGAAGTGACCTCACCTCATAAAAAGTTTCAATGTCTGTCATAGCTACACCGAGTGACCGATCGCTTTGAAACTTTCAGCGATTGCTAAGAGCAATAGCATGTACAAAATGTACATCTCAGAATTTTGATATCGATGACCTAAGGTCAGGTCAATTTTGCGACCTCCCCATTATAAGTCAATGGGAGAAAATTGCAATGCGCCTCCTTTGGACGAAAGACATTATAAACACTCCCAAACACTGAATTACAAGTGGTTTAGACACACTGAACATGAAAATAGTGTCCGTGACCCCTGTTTATGCCCTGAGGTCATCTAAGGTCACGAATGGTATCTAACAGTTTTTCGCAAATAACTTTTGATAGAGGCATGCTAGAGCGATGAAAACGCCTTAGATGTGTTCAGCTCGACGATACGGATCGACTGATATGCAACATGACCCTTTCCGGTCAGGTCATGACCTTGACCTGAGGTCAAATTTTCAAGCTGACCTTTCAAGGTCAAGTTATAGTTCATTCGATGCGTCTTGACAAGAGGAACACGATGCCGGTAAAAGTAAGCTCGTACAAGGCTTGGGTCAAAAGTTATTGCAGAAAAACTGTTTCCGAAAAATCGGCTATTTTTGCAGTTTTTGCCCCCTGCAGGCAAAACCGTTGACTTTAGGTCAAATCTGAGAGAATTACTCAGAAAGGGCGTTAATAGGGCTATCGAATGCGCTTTTCCGCGGCGCTGTAGCTCTATTGGTTCCCGAGTTATGCGTTGGCTTCTTGGAAATTGTCGACATTCGACCTGGAAATCGGCGAAATTTTGCCTTCAATGACCTCTTGTGACCTGACCTTTGACCTGACCAAAAAATTGACCGAAGTGATTTCCTCATTATTTTTGACGCTCTTTCGAACGCCGCCTTCCGCGTATCGCTACGTGGCCCAGGAGCCGAGTTAGAAGGGGGGGGGGGTGTTCAAACACCCCCCCCCCCCCAGCAGGGCGTGGAAATCCAGGACCCCAGCCGGGCGCGGGTTAATAAGCACATCAAGCAAAGTCTGCTGTTGGTTGTTTGCGTTCAAAGCTCCTCATCAATCAGCACTAAGCGCCACCATTCGTCACCATCTGGTGGCCGTTAGAGCGGCGGCGGCGGCGGCGCGCGGTCTGCAGAGAGGTGCGGTCAGGTGCCGCGCAGCCTCCGGCCCCTCGGGGAGCGACTGTCCTAGGCCTGATTGTCTCGCTGTGTAGTTTGGTGATTGGCTGTTTGGTGAGTACACAGTGCCGACTCTGGGGGCGCTGCCAAACCATCGATCGACAGACCGGTCGTCCAGACGTGAAAACGTCAGAACAGCGCCGGAATAGTGACTGTTTGCGACTGCTAATGGCTGGTGGAGTATTTTCAGAAGGCTTATTGTAGCAGAGAAAGTTTGTTTGCTGCATATAAATACGCTAATGGTTTTGTGTCATCGTGAGAGAGTGGTAGCAAATTAACAGAAACCATAATGTTGTTTAGTTGAATGTGAACAACTTTACCACGATTCATAGAGAAGTGTCGTCTCACCGCTCGATAGTACAAACTTCTCAAGAGTTTCCAATGCAGCACTCAATACAAAAAAAAACTTTATTGTTGGATATATGTATTGACATGCTTCCAATAACAGTGCATATTCTATTTCGTCTCTTCGTTTTTATTTATAAATATTCCTATCACATTTTCGCCTTACGTTAGCTGTTGTGGACCGAAATATCCCTGCACTTTGCCTACTATTCTGGTGCGCGTTTTTCACTCGGTTCTGTGAGGGTGGCGGACTCGCACGCGAGGTCGATCCGGCCCGCCTCCGTCCGTCCCTCGACCCCGCTTCTGGCGTGCGTGAGATGAGTACCGCGCGCGCCCGGAGGTGTTTGCAATGAATCTGCATCTGTATGCATCTGTGTGTGGGTACTGAATGGGCTATGATACGTTTGCTGAATATCCGTAACGCTTTTAGAGTCATCTCAGAATACGATATGGTAATGTGGTTTGGCTTAGTAATAAGATGGTAATGTAAAAATAGTCAATGTCGACTCTCGCCCCCGCCCAGAGCGGCTATAGGAGATGCATACCTACCTACATAATGTCAAAGTCTGCCTGTTGTTTAAGTCTGAAAGAATAATTACTTTACATTGTTTAAAAAAAAAATCAATCTAACCGTTCATAGCGTAGGGCATTGAGGTTGCTCGTAAATGGTGCGTGCTTGAATGGTTCCAATCACGAATGATATGCTGTCGAAACTCTTGGTGCCCTCTGCCCATCTTGTTCTAGTCAAACATCAGCTCATCCAAGAACAACAATAGAGGAACCTAATCCCCAACCTTTCATTGACGAAGTCGTGCGTCCTGATGACTAATAATCCTTGGCTTCTGAATTTCTTAATTTCCGTTCCACCAGTGACTGCACTCCCTGTTCCCAAGTCGGGCTCGCTATACAATCATAATGAAGCTTTGACAATCTACAGCCTGAGCTCCGAACACAGAGTGAACCTAAGTGGATTATGCTTCAGATGGGTACCGATCTCACGATAAGACAGGCAACGGAGATGTGCATCAGTCCATAACGAGTTCAGCAATGAGATGGAGCTATACGGTGGGCGTTTCAGAAATGGAATTGCCTTTTCCCAGAAAAGCGCATTCAGCTAACGACTTCCGTGAACCGCCTCAGACCCTCTGTGTACCCGTAATGGAGCGATGCTTTCCACATGATGACATGATTCAATCCCTTTCATGGTTATGGCATCATGCCACCGTCTTTATTTAGTGTTAAGTTTGCCTGACACCCGATTTCAAGTGGTGTTTAGCGTCAGCACTTTGTAGTATCATGCATAAATTAAAGCCTATCCTGTTTGCTGGATAACACTGGTGGCGCTGTTGGTGTTGGGGATAGTACCTTGTAGCTGCAGCTGCTTTTAGTATTATACTGCATATGACGGTGGTAACAAAGTTATGCTCACAAGGAGGCACCCACTTTTGATTTGTCCTGTATTATGTATCTGCGATTCTGCCCTGTATTGCATTTTCTTAATCTCTTGTTTTGTTTTCGGTTATGTGTCATGGTGATTGGTGGGCTATGGCTTGTTCCCGCTTATATAAGCTGACACAACTAACAACGGTCTCCCACCTACTCAGCTAAGCTAGTCAGCCATCGGGCTGTCACTGTCCGAATGGCCAATGCTGTTACAACGCCTGAGCTCGTTGGGTAGGCTGTGCTGATGCTGTTTCGCACCAGAGACTATTGGTGGCGTTATAGCGCCGGAGCTCGGTGGGTAGGCTGTGCCGCAGCACTTGCGTGCACTCCGGGCTAGTCTACCCACCTGCTGGCGCCTGAGCCGTCGCTGGCCACGGTTTCAACGATAATGTCGGCTCTGAGAAACATTTGTCACCCTCGCCTTTGATGTCGGTATCGAATTACATTGAAACGACATGCCACCTGACTTCTATATGAACCTAAAACACTGATATTGTGTGGTAACTGGTAATACTGTTAGAAATATAAACTGAAACACGCACTTCAAACGTTTATCGCATGTTAAGATATTTTCCTTGCCCCTTGAACACTTACAAAAGAATTAACCAATGACAATCATACCCACTTTTTCTTTGGTTTCGTGGGCGGCTATTGCTGCTGCCTACACGACAGCAGCAGTGGTTCTTGATAGGACGCCCCACTCACCATCACCATTTGGAAGCGCGTTTACCGGCGGCTGCACTTTTTCACTTCTGACCTTTCAAGTTCCATTTCCTGATCTGCCGTGCTCCTCCAGTGTTTCTGCCTCTCGCAGTGACGCTACCTCGCCAGGAACATTTCCGGTCCTAAACGACGGCGTTCAGACAGGCAAGCAGCAGCGCCTGTTTGTGATCGCCCTCTAACCGCATCTTGTCGGCCCATTTATTCTACTTTTGCTTTATTTTTACTGGCTGAAAATGCTGCATCTTGCTGCAGAGCGTGCATAGCTTGATGATTTTCAATAAAACGCTTTTGAAAACGAATATGAAGATGCACATTGGAAATCACTTTCAGATGAAAATATGATCTCAGTAGATAATTCTGATGAGTCAAGGCATAATGTAGATTTATTTTCTCGGTTGTGTCAAACTTAACTCGATAAGGACATCATACGTTTCTGAGAAAGAAAACAATGTTCAGTGCGTCATGTTTGAAACTGTACAAAATTTTCGGGAATGCTGCATCCAGTGAATGAACGTGAAGAGGATGAGACGACTTTATTTGGGCACAATCAAGTTGATGATGAATTAGCCAGGTAGCTCCAACCAAGATTCCTTTACTACTCAGGCTGGTTCACTAGGGAAATAAAGGCGCCGTGGTGACGTCATCAGAGGAAATCCTTCACGTTCAAATGAAGAGGTCATTTGAATTGCTGATTTTGGCTCGATATAGTCCTATTTTTTAGTATCAGACCCATTTATCGTAATGAGGTGAACCCATTGTTACATTGGTACAACTTCTGATGACACATAATGCTTTTTTTTTCTCCAGCTCGCTCGAAAGATGATGAAATTTGCGTGCATGCCTATTGGTGAAGGGAGATTCTACCGCCGTGGTGACGTCACGGTAAAGGGATTCTGGAACTCGTGAACGGGGGCTGGCTCCAACAACATCTAAAATTTCTAATAAATGCGATGAAAATAATCGCGCTTTCTTTCGCCCAGCTGTTAACGGTTGGTAGTTGCGTATGACAGCAGCGCTCTGTGTGTGTTTCAGGCTACTCGCGCAAGCTGCCGGGCTACCCTCGGTACCGTCTGCTGGGTGACCCGGCCGCGGGCGTGCACGACCTGGAGATCACCAACGTGACCCTGGAGGACGACGGACGGTTCCAGTGTCAGGTGTCACCGAGTGGCGGCCAGCCGGCCATTCGCGCCGACGCCTACCTCAGCGTCATTCGTGAGTGAGGCTGACGTTATTCCCCGACGTTATTCGTGAGTCAGACCGACGTTATATGTCGGTATCATCAGTGAGTCAGACCGAAGCTATTCCTCGGCGGCATCCGCGAGTGAGGCGGACTTTGACATTATTCTCAGAGACAGACGTTAGCCGTGAGTCAGGCCGGCGCCGCTCTAACATAGCCTTCGTCCCGACCAGCAGTTCAGGCCGTCGTGTTTTCGATATGGAACATTTACCAGTCACTCAGAGCTTTGCTCTCCGAAAATAATTATACTCTGTAGCGCTTTCAATTGCTGAGTACGGTGGTTCATCCTCGTGGAAACTTCAAAGGATGTGGTTGCTTATGCAACAATATTTGCTTGAAGTAATATTTTTTTTTAATTATTATTTAGGAATCGACGCAATGGCCGCATATGTCAACCGACTCGCAAGATGGCTCTCACATGCCGGTAGCCTGAAAAGTTCGACACGTTTGTTAAAAATGTTCGTAAAAAACTTGTCATCACTTCCGATCTCGGCATTTGACGATTTCGTCGAAGGTTTATATATTAATTATCAGAGGAAATACGTTTCCAGATGAGGCGTTCTCTTGAAGCTGTCTAGGGATTATTATGTCATTCCTGTGCAGCACAAACAATATCGCTAACCAGTGGTCTCAGCCTCTGCGATGGTCATCTATCCGGCCACAAATTGGAACCATCATGGCCGACTCATCCGATCTATATCCATCCGTCAACCGGCGGCTAAGGCCGCTCCGGATTACTTCAGCTCTGTCAAAAATATATCATGTGAGGACCCTGTTGTCAACTGTGTCCCCAGAGAAAAATTTGAACTTTAATGAACGCGTTTTACATTACACGTTTGAGGAAAATATAGACTTATCGTGTGTGTTTTAGGGCACGCGGAGGTAAGCCATACAATTAAGCGTTTTACTGTAAAACTTTCATTAGAAAACATTGGGACACGCAATCCCTGAACTTTGACACTCCTCAAGGCTCCTGACCTAGTGATTTCTCAACCGGCCTTGCAAGGCCGGTCTGCCCCAACAAAATCGTTTGGGACTAAATGTTGCTTTATTTCCATTATCCTGCGATCCATTACTCCCCATAATATGAGACATCATATATTGACCTTCTCCGATATTTCGCATCTGTGTGGGCACTGGGCAGCTTATACACTGATATCATTTACCTACTTGTCTCGAACACTGATTTGGGTCATAAAAATAGAAACAGCCAAGATATTACTTTACCTATTTTACTAAAAGCTGCACACTGAGGACAGTGGATTTTTTTTTTCAGTAAAACCGCAGTCGGTACGCCTGCGGGCATTCGTCGACGGCGTGGCGACATACGACGAGGTCCAGGTGCCCAGAGGCGAGTCGGTGACCTTGACCTGTGACGTCACCGGCGCCCGTCCCGCCGCCGGCATCGAGTGGCAGCGCAACGGCCGTCACCTGGAGGCAGGTGGGTGGGCCGGCCGCTCCAATTATCATCGCATGCTTCCAACGACTCATGCAACGGCAGACAGGGCCGGTTAGTTGCAGTGTTAGGGAGTCCCTGCTTCTCCAGGGAGCCAGAGAGGACGAGCGAAACGAAGAACTTTAGAGCTCTCGTAGTTTACTGGCGTCTCTTTCTCCCAGGATAAAGACGTAGCTTAACCATTCAGAATTTACTGGTCCTTGTATGGTAGTTTTATATTGGCTCCACATGAGATGAGAGACCATTTACCAGAAATAACAACACAATAGCCCCCTCCTAAACTGTGCCGTGGAGTGGTCCCCACACTGTTATTTCGCTCGAGGCCGTTTTTATTGCCAAGTCAATTCGGTGGGTGCAGCGAGCCGGTGGACCGATAAATTGCCTGTCGATCTGCTGAGTGATTGAGCCCGGGCGCGATACAAAACAAATTTGCATTTGTCTGAGCTGCGGGCCCGGTGCGGTTGGCAGACGGCTCGGCCGTGGTGCTGGCGGCCGTCGGGGACGCGCGCCGTCTGGACACCCGCTCGTCGCTGACAGTGGACGCCGGCCGGGCCGACGACGGGGCCGGCTACTCGTGCGTGGCGCGTCACCCGGCGCTGCGGCCCGCCGACGGCCACCGCGAGCGCTTCAACGCCAGCATCACCTTCTCCGTGCTGTGTGAGTGATGGTCCGCCGGCAGGCCCGTCTCGGCGCGCCGCCGAGCCGTCAGAACTTAGCGCGACTAATCTTCAAGGCGGTCCCCCGGGGCGCCAAGCAATCCGACGAGCCTCTCAGCTGCGCAGCGAGTCGACCGGCGACGGCGCGCTGCGACATGTTTTCATAATGATGAAGGGTGTCATCTGTGTTTTCCTTTGAGCAGAATTTATCTGCCGGATACGTTCTGTTATCATGTTTCGTTAATCTTCAGGCGTCCCAGAAATATATTGCAGTGTTAATGAAGCGAATAAATTGTTGCCAGAAGATAATTGCCGAATTCTTCTAGCCGTTTATTACTCATCCATGTTAACCGCTTTCTGCAGCAGGACAAGTGTCTTTAAGCTCACTCACTGCACCTTTGAAACTTTTAGGCTTAGTTTGAGCCGTTCTAGCCCGTCCATTAGGCGATAGATTCGCCGCCCTGAGCCGTGGCCGGCTGATTGCAGATCCCCCAGGACCCCCGTCCATCAGTGGGTACAGCGCCGGCGAGATTCTGCGCACGGGCGAGCAGCGCACGCTGACCTGCTCCTCGAAGGGCGGCAACCCGCCGGCGCGCCTGGTGTGGACGCGCAACGGGCGCGCCGTGGGCCAGGTGTACCGGGCCGGCCGGCGCGCCGCCACCGCCGCGCACACGTTCATCGCCGACCCGACTGACCTGGGCGCCGTCTACCGGTGCACGGCCTCCTCCAAAGTGTACCCGGAGCCCATGGCCGCCCAGGTGGAAATCGACGTCTACTGTGAGTAACCGCCGACAGTGTCCCGATCTGTAATGTGTGCATTTTATTGGTTTATATGCAAAGGATTATGGGTTAACGTATGCTACGATAAAAACAGATTTTGTTTAGTTGTCCCGGAACCCAATACGCACTATGTAGATCGATGAATTCGTTTGAAAGACTCAAAACACTTTCTTAGCCCTAGGCGAAATATTTAAGCATTGATTGCATTGTCAATCTCAGTTGGAACTTCAAACGATTTTTCTTTGTTTTCCTGACTGAAGACAGGCCGGGCAGTCGGTGCAGCCATAACTCACAATGTAGGATTGCCACTTATGCATTTTGTTGCTTCTATTTTCGTCCATGTGTGGTTCTGAGGCCCATGGAAGCCACGTTATTTTAACATTCCTTGGTAAGCTGCAATTTCTAGGTGGATCCGTCTGGGGGTAGATGACATGCGGGTCCGCCCCAGTCACGTCGCGGTCCGGGGCCGGCCGGTAAGGGGGCTTCCCGAGAGGCCCATAAAGATGCCTGATCTCAACCGGCGTCGTACTTAGGACGAGATATCAGGGAATTATCGGCCTGAAGAGGCTGCATAAGCTGGCCGCCTGAATTCCGTCCGGGTCGGGCCGGCGGCGCCATCAGTCGGCCGGGCGCAGATAACGCGCCGTTATTGGCGGGCCACCGCCGGCCCCGCCGAGACCTGCGGCCTTTCCGCTCCGATGACGGGCAGCTGAGCGCGGCCGGCCGAAAAAGACGGCACACAATATGCCGCTACCTCTGATTGCTGAAGCGAAGCGCTAATGCAGCGATGCTATACCTGTCTGTGACTTATCAGCGAGACATTTATCTTCGCCGGCAGTAGCCCACGCTGATGGTTATTGTATCGGCTAAATCTAAATAAATGTTTTTTGGTTATCCACCATGCGCTAGATCGATGAGGGTGCCTGACTGAGGTCTTATATGTCTGTCAGCTTCTCAGAAAAGCGCTCGCTGATCTGAAAGTAACGTAAAATGACATTGGTTTCAGTGTCGATTACATAATGCACTTTTCGTAATTGTAATAAAATAATGCATGATGCGGGAAAGATAAATAATTCATAACCACCCTAAAACTTCCAACGTACAAAAAGTGAAACAATGTTTTGAGAGCATTGTTTTGCTTTTTAATGGTTGTTTTATATGTCCCACTCAACTCATGGGTCGTCGCTGACTTTGCTTACTGGGGTTGACGGCTGGTGCGTTCTGTGTGGATTTTTATTTATTGGATTTTAAATTGGGTTTGATGTGCTGGGTCTGAGCCGAAATATCGGTCTCGGAAGCGGTGTATGCTGAGGCAGCTGTCGGGTCGATCCCGGCTGCGCCGTAGGCTGAGGAGGCGTCCGTCCAGAGGCGACCGCCGCCAGCGACACAGACAATCAACCGGAAAGCGACCCGGTCTGAGCCCCTCCCCTCTCTCTCCCGCTCCCGCTCCCGCTCTCGCCCGCTCTGCCTCGTTCGAGGAACCGCGACTCTGCCATCGCTAAGTCGGAGCCTGTGCGGGCGCTCAGGCCGACGACAGTTTGATCACTTCCTGACTGATGGCGATCGACCAAAAATTTGAAACGCGCCATTTGTTCTGTCTTGTCTCCGCGGCACCAGCCATAGAAATTGGTCAGATATAGCAAATGAGTTTAACGAGTGGCGGGTGCCGCTATTTCATCACCTGAGGCGGCGGATGCAGTGGCTAGGTGGTGAGGGCGGGGCCGCGGATCCGGGATGGTCTCGGCGCCGCTAACCGGCGAGACCGGCGCGCTCGAGCCAATCAATAGCGGTGTCCGTCGGTGACCTCTGCCCCTGGATTTCAGTCGCGCCCAAGAGGGTGTCGGTCACAGCGCCGGCCTCTGCTCAGTCCGGTGACGTCATCCACGTCAGCTGCGTCACGTCCGAGAGCAACCCACCGGCCAACCTGACGTGGATTGTCAGCGACGGCGTTCTGGAAAACGTGAGCAGCTGCCGCCGACCACCTCGCCGCGGCGGGCGCCATCCATATCTGCCAGCACTGCTTATTCGGAACGTGAATCTATTACCTGAAACGGAACTTGACGCCTACACCGCGCCTGCCAAAGGGCTTCGATGGAGGGCAGGGAGCGATGCTGCCACAGCATATTTTTCAATCGCTGGTCTGAAAGGATCTGCGCCATGGACTTGAAATGTTTGCACTTAAAAATGCAGTAGATATCTGGCATCCGAAGCCTTGTAGTAGGAAATTTGATGGATTGCATAATGCATATTACATATTTGGTATTAGGTATATTTCGCTATATTGCATGCTAATATATTTTATAAACATCATATGAAAATCCTTACCAAAATGTGGAAGCCAACGGGCAACGTCGGTAATCGTCTTTCCCGGATTTGAATTAATTATTTTAATGACCTACAATCATACCTATTAATTATTAGGTAGGTATATATTAATTATTAGTATTTCAGTTGAGACAAGTATAATAACACGGAACAAAAATGATAGACGAACGCGTTTCGGCTAAATCACCGTCATCAGCGTCTAAAAGGAGAACAAGAGATATCTACTGAGATTTAAGATTTAAGATATCTACTGCATTTTTTTAGAACAAGATTCTAAAAGGAGAACCTTGTTCTCGTTTAAGACGCTGATGACGGTGATTTAGCCGAAACGCGTTCGTCTATCATTTTTGTTCCGTGTTATTAATTATTAGGTATATATTAGCCGTTTTCACGACGGGCTATCCGGCGAGTGCCCCTAATTTGACCAAATCTGCACCAAATCTCTTTTACAGCAAATATCTTTATTTTATGAATAAATTTCAGTGTTTTAATCGATGATGCTCTCTGATAATATGACAAAGCATGCATGTAAGCGATTAGTACCTACAACCCTAGCTGATTGCCACTAAGAGACACACTGAGCCTAATTTGACCAAATCTGCACCTAACTAATCTGCACCAGATGTGCACCAAATGTGTAGGGTAGACCGGGGCAAGTCGCCCCGCCGAGGTAAAACGCCTCACCGATGTTTCTCGGAACTGGGAAGGTTCTGGAGAAACATCATCTCTTCTATGAAACGTGCACTATGTGATCATTATCTGAGCAGACTGGAAAGAAATTGTGATGACTCTTTAGGGAGATATAGCCAAAAATGTATTTTTGGAGTGATTTTTATGTTTTGTTGTCAGCTTATGCATCATGGCGTTCTTTTATGGTCCACATCAGGTTAACGACTTTTATGTATTTTGAACAACTTTATCTAACGCTTATAATGCCGGGTTGGTTCGTGTTAAATTATGCCTTGCTGGAGTGCAAGGCGTTGTTCTCTGACCGAACTACGTGATGGGGTAAAACGCCCCAGTAGGTCGTGGGGCAAAACGCCCCATGGGGCGTTTTACCTCATGTGTTGTTCGGACTACCCACTTCCTAATGTTCGGTAGCTGGCTAACAGTAAGTTTCTATGCATTTATATGTACTTTTCTCAGCAACTGGATGGCAAAGGAAGTATTTCGTTAACATTTCCATTGCAATAATTTATTATTTAGCCTTATGAGGCAGGTGAAAAACCTGCTCATACAATAGTGTCATAGCTGAACACCTGATAGGATGGAAGGAGCTAACTTCAGTGCCGTGCTTCCCAAGGTCTAACAGACCTCTCATATAAGATTTAAGTCAACTAGCACGTTTAATCTTTAATCTAGAGTATGGGGCTTCTTGCCCCAGGCCGTGGGGCGTTTTGCCCTGGGGTTGGGGCAAAATGCCCCATTTGCAGTTGCTTCACAAATCACTTCCTAGCTAGGAGTCCGATCATAAGTGAATGAATTTGAGGGGTGGAATTTAAAGTAAAATGTCCAAAGAACGCATTGAGCACAAATTTGGCCTTCCAGGTGATGTGGGACAAAAGTTATTTAGCAAAATAAATTATCTGGGGCGTCTTGCCCCAGGCTACCCTACCAGATGGCCGTCGTGAAAACGGCTATTACCATATATATCTATATACCTATATATTACCTATACCTATATATTAGTAAAAGTATATAAGCATTTTCAAGACTACCGCGTCAATTAAACGTCTTATATGATTTTGTCAATATTATTTTCAGGGCAAAGGTGCCTACAAAAGTGTTATCATGTAGGTATGGAATGGAACCTAATTCGATATACCCTGGCCCTGGGTATGGACTATGGAATGCCTAACGACGTACGGTCAAATGCTTCCAAGGTAGCGGCTAGTTGCATCATTATATATTTAATGCAATGTTATTCGAAGCAGGCCGGCAGCCATAGGCAAGGGTAACAGGGTTACATACTACGTACGTCTATGTACTTGTTTGTGCAATATATATGTGTTCACATTATCGCTTTTCACAGACGTCTATGTACTGTTTTGGCATTCATGTGGTTTCTTTTGAATGTCCGTTTGAAATAAGATTGACCTATCAGTTGTAGGTATAAGGTATCTCATCAAGAGCCATCATAAAAGTACATAACTTATAAGGGCTGATTGCTTCTGGAAATATAGAAAACCATTGGTATGAATATGACGAATGTGGTTCGCTTCAGACAAAATGGCACCCTTCACACTAAACCGCTGTTCTACGATGTTATAGCGGGAAAACGCGTACCAATGATCAGATGCCCATGATGAGTAGAGCAAGCTCTTGTTCTGGTTTTTTAATAGGTCTGAAGTGAACCTGGTACGTGCGCACGTTCACTTTCACCCCAAATGTGCGTGAAATACCTGCAAACGTCACCGTCGCGTGGGATGCTGCACCACATTGCTGCACGGTTGCACCATTCACCGAGCCCTTCTCAGGTGTTGTACCTAAGTGGAACTATTTTGGCACCCCTCGCTCAGCAGTTGACAACTGGCACGTAACATAACGTGACAATCACTCGTATGTACCACGATCATTTAAAGACATGAGAATGGAAGTATAGTCACCCTGCAAAGTCGCAATACATGTATGCAATTTACACACAAAGGTATCAAACGGTAAACTAATGCATACGCATGCTGGGCTATGATGATAGAAGGCCTTACTAAGACCAAAGGACGGTTTAAACTGGAAAATAGCGAGAATATCGAAACGCAAGCGAGCCGGTAGGTACGCCCACCATTTTTGAACTAAGACGGAAGACGGACTCATCCCTCCGTCATGTAAGTAGGTACAAGGTGCGTTTGTAACTGTTACACGCTACTCTGAAGCTGAGACAAATGTTCTTGTCTGCTGTATTTCTGGCAACTATACGACCCGTCGTTGGTTGTTCTGCAGGCGACGTGGGCGGCGCATCCGGCCCCGGACGGCGGCTGGATCTCCAGCTCGAACGTCACAGCGCTGGTGCCGGCCGACGCCGACCAGCAATTCCCGCTGCGCTGTTTCGCCCAGAACCCGGCGGTGCCGCAGCCGCGCGACGGCACGGCGCTCGTCACCGTTCTGCGTGAGTGGGACCGGCCTGCGTCACTGCTGCGACCCGCGGGACTGCCGCACTCAGCGGCCAGCTCACGTAGCACCCGACCGGGGTGGGAGAATGAGTCGGCCCTGGTCGGTTTGGGCAGAATAAGCCGCTGAGATGTAGCGCCTTCTCCCTGCATTCAGGTCACAGTGTTGCGGAAAATCGGCCCGGAAAACTATCGGTCTTCGTCAGTCCGCCAGGGACTGGGAGTCTTCAGAGTCGTGTTCCGTGCTTGGGCAGCTATACGCCCAAATTGTAGAATGCTGCCATTGCGATAATTAGGTTGATGAATATACCCTTAAATGCTTTATTCATACAATGGTAAAACCTTTTGGCCGTAATTGATCTGACGTGAGTAAGTCCTTTTATCTATTCTGAGCTCACAGATGAAAGGAAGTGTTTATCTGTTTATCTGTAGGTAGATTATGAATGGGTTAGAGTAGAGCTAACCCCCTCTGGCGCATTGCGAATTTAATTGAATGCTCATCCTCACGCAGCTCTCCTGTTCGACAGAGGCGCCTCAGCCGCCGACGATCCTGGGTTACGCGCCGGACGAGGTGCTGCAGGCCGGCGAGCGGGTCACGCTGAGCTGTCTGGTGCGCGGCGGCAACCCGCGGCCGCGGCTCTCCTGGCTGAGCGGCGCGCGCCCGCTCGAGTCGCGTCAGCAGCAGGCCGGCCGCGACACGCTCAGCCTGCTGACGCTGACTGTCAGCGCTGAGGACAACGGGCGCCGGCTGACCTGCCGCAGCCGCAGCGACGCCGCCGACCGGCCCAGCGACGCCAGCGCCACGCTGCGGGTCTCCTGTGAGTGGCGGGTCACCACTCGTCTGTGTCCCTCTCCCAGGGTACAGTCGGAGAGGAGCGAGAAGGAACTTAAGAACTTTTAAACGTGATGAATAATAATGTCGCGATGTCGATCGCCCGAGATAAGTTGTGATGAAATAAGAGTACCTACTGTTTCAATTACTCTGTTGCGCCAATAAAATAATAGCCTCTCTGCACACAGTCTTCCTTTTTGGCAGCTCAGAGGAAAATGTATTATTACAATGGTCACTTAATTATGTCACTGTTGTTAAAACTGGTCTTTGCATGTTTCGTATTATTTGCAAGTTTTGTATTATCATAGATCGTTATATTCGGTTTAAAGTTTCTCTTCATGCCTTGCTTGCTTTAGCGCCGTTCTAATATTTTAGGTACGACTATAATTGCGCAGAGACGCGAATAGGACCCCGCCACCGTACGGCTAAAACTGAAGCTGGGTGAGGCATTTAACATCCAATGACGGGGCATAGAATATTAATTAATTGCCATGGACTGCTAATGCTTTGTGTCTACCAGCATTATCTAACATGGAAAGTGGAAGTTCATTTTAGCTTATCCAGTAAGCTGTCAGAACAAATGACAACATAGTGCATGGAGGGCAGGTGCACTGTCGCCGGCTAATCACATAGCCTGTCAAGATAGATCAGACCGAGGGACAGACACTTGTGGGGGATACTTGGGCTCACTATTGAGACACTGTGTGCTACTGTCGAGCGATTTATTGTGAAGCAGTGATTTAATGTGAACCAGTAATGTCTTCCAGATAACGCCCTCCACTCAACTGAAAATGTTCCCCGAGTATTGTTTGCTCTACAGAGGTGGATTATCAACTGAACCGCTGAGTGCGTCGTTCCAGTTCCTCCGAGCCGACTGGACATCAGTGTCAGTCCGTCGCCGCTGCGGGCCGGCCAGCCGGGCGAGCTGACCTGCGAGTCGCGTCCGTCGCTGCCGGCGGCGCGGCTCAGCTGGTGGTCCGGGGGTCGGCCCGTCACCGAGCACGTCGTCAGGGAGGACACGGTGCCGACCGGACAGCACGGAGGGTGAGCGACTCCAGACACACGGCCACTCGAGAGACTCGGGGGTGATATTGTTGCCCGGCTGAAGTAAAAAACGGCTAGAAAAGGTAACCGTCTAGGGTTCCAACGCTTGGAAATAATAATAAGAATGTATACGAAAAATGCAGAATGTTCGGGACCGAAACTCCATCATTTCCTATTCCTGATGCCTCGAGGGAGAGGTGTCACTTACCGGCATTTGGTTCAATAAAAGTTAGCTCTAGTAGCCGAAGTTTTATCCCCTGCCACTCCCTCGCCGCCAGCTTCGTGAGTCGCAGCGTGCTGAGGAAGTCTCTGAGCTGGACGGACGACGGCGCGGAGCTGGTCTGCAAGGCCGAGATGCCCGCTCTGACCGGCACGCTGCAGACCGTCCGCAAACTGCACGTACAGCGTGAGTGCTGGGCTTCCACTTGGGGCTTTCGCTTCGTCACAGATGACTAGAAATGGTCGAAGAAAGTTCTGGTTGAAGGGCTGAATTTAGCGTTTAAATTGCGTAAAAAATTAACTTATATGTTTTCATTCCTTAGCGTGAAATATACCTCCTCTCTCCCAATCTCTCTTTCTTCTCTCCATCTCTCTCAACTCTGATTCTCTCCCCGTCTCTCCCTCCCCAGACGCCCCTGTGTTCGAGCGGCCACAGCTGAACGCCACAGCCGTCCGTGGTCAGCCGCTGTCTCTGAACCTCACGGCGCGGGCCAACCCGCCCGTGAGGGACTACGTGTGGTCGCGGGCTGACGGGGCGGGTGCGTCAGCTGACGAGCGACTGCTGACGTCAGCTGACGGGCGACTACTGACGTCAGTTGACGGCGTGCTGAACCTGACGTCCGTCAGACGCGAGGACGCCGGCTGGTACCTGCTGAGAGCCACCAGCGCGCTGGGGTCGGCCTCGGCCCGAGTGCACGTCGACGTGCTGTGTGAGGACTGGTCGCTTATTCGGGCACACCTATCGTTTATTTTTCTTCATTATTATTATTATTATTTTGTAGGTAAAGGCGCAAACAGGCAGCATGCCCAATAATAACAGACGCAGTCGTGCAGTCAAAACGATACAGTATGAAGAATATTGACTCGTGTAGGACTGTGGACAATGAAATTAACGAATAAATGAAGGCCCTATGAATGAACAGTGCTACCACATATTTTGACGCTCATACCGTGCTGTTCTTTGTCACGGGGTGATATATCTTCAATAGGATTAATTCTATGCACATATAGAACTCGCAGATCAAAATACCTACAAATGTGTGACTGACGAACACATCGTTTCTGGTTTATTCCAGATCCCCCGAAAGTGTTCAAGACGCCGTCGATCATCACTGCAGCTCGGCACGGCCGGCTGGACCTGCCGTGTCGGGCCGAGGCCAACCCGCTGAGCGGCGGCATGTTCAGCTGGTCCCGACCCGGTCAGCGGCAGCCGCTCAACCTCACCTCCAGCTACCTCAACGGCACCTCCTTCCTGAGGATACCGGCCCTCACTGAGGACAGCGCCGGTGACTTTGTGTGTTCCGTTACGAACGACCTCGGACTCGACAGTGCCACGTTCACTGTGGTGATTCAAGGTAAACAATATTTAATAATAACTCTTTAGCCGGCATCGTACTTGGCGTGGTACTTAAAATAACAAAGGAAGGTTATGTGCCTATTTTAGTTCCTACGCGTCGCTACTAGCTACATATAGCGACGAGGAATAAATATTGCAATAAGGCAGCATAGTTTCCGCTTGATGTTAGAAGCACTTGCATATGTTTTTTCTTCTTCATAATGTGTTTACGTTGCTAGTTGCTAATAATGGCTGATAAAAATGTTCCGATTTTCGTGACTGAAATTCTTTAGCATAAGATTAGATTAAAATTGGAACGCATTTATCCGTTCAGTGTTCAAAACATGCCATTGGTGTGCTGGAATGGGTTACACAACGCACAGCGCTAACAAACATTGATATTGACCATATTCACCGCAAAACCCTTGCATGTTTTCTACCGAACGTTTCCTGACATTTACCTGATTTTGGCAGAACCGGCTAAAATCGCCAAAAGCGTCCGTTTCGCCAAGGCCGCCGCCCGGCTGGGGGAGAAGGCCCACGTGACCTGTCGTGCCCGCGGGGCTCCAGCAGTCACCTTCAGCTGGTCACGTGACGGTGACGTCATCAGTGGCACGGGCTCCGGCGGCAAGTATGGCACCGAGCGGAAACAGGTGAGCCGCGGAGCGCCGCTGAAAGGAAAGCCTGGTCCGCTTCAAAACAGGTGCACTTACCTACATACGGCGGGCAAACGGTAAACAACTCCTCAAAGGTAAACCGTCTGACAAAAGTACGTACCTATATAGCTTAGTCTGGCCTATGCCCTGCTGATACAGTCGACTTCAAAGTGAGTTTTAGAGCGATGAAATGAGTACCTGTTGTCACTTGTGTATCTACACGAAGTCCTGAGCTCCAGTTGGATGGTAGGGTGTTATTCAACAACCTCCTTCTTCTGGTGTGTGGAAAATGGGAAGCCTTTGCGTTTTATGGACTAACACAATCCTCTCATTCTCGGCAGATTGACGTGCTGAGGTGGGCATCAGTGCTGGTCAGTGCTGAGGTGGGCATCAGTGCTGGTCATCATTGACATCACCGAGTCGGATTACGGCGAGTACGAGTGTCGCGCGTCGAACCGTCTCGGCTCGGACACCCACCGGGTGCGGCTGGTGGAGCCGTCGGCGCCCGACCCGCCGCGCGACCTGCACGTGCTCAACGTGTCGTCCGGCGCCGTCACCCTGGCCTGGACGCCGGCCTTCGACGGCGGCTTCATCCAGGTTAGCAGGGGGAGGGGGAGAGAGAGAGAGAGAGAGAGAGAGAGAGAGAGAGAGAGAGAGAGAGAGAGAGAGAGAGAGAGAGAGAGAGAGAGAGAGGGGAGAGAGAGAGAGAGAGGCAGGGACATATTGCTAGATTAAACCGAGTCATTTCATATGTAGCGGTAATTTGGACTGCGGAGTAATTTGGTAAGGGATTACAATTTGATTGCACCTCCCATTACTGGGCAAAGTGGGATTAAACAGGCTCCCATCCAGGTGGCGCCAAGTTCCCGTCCAGTCGCTAGGCGGGTGGAGGTATTCTTGTCGATATTCGCTATTCTTGTGAGGATAAAAACTGCAATGCTTGACGCCGTCTAACCTTTACCGGTAAATGTCCATTACCATGCGGACATTTGCCTTTTTATAAAAGCGGCAACCTGGTTCGACCAATATGTAAGAATAAGTACGTTTGAAAATGAGAATCTCGAGACATGAGCTATGCTTCCGAATGAGATAAGATCATTGTCCTGGAAAGACGGATGTACGGAACAACTGTGAGTAACGCTTGGTGTTTTTATATTTTCTAAGCTCTTGTGTCCCGTCGCCAGGGTTTCCGGTTCCGCTACTCGGAGTGGGAGTCTGGCGAGGAGACGGTACGGGACGGCGACCCGAACTCAGCCCGCTTCACGGTCGGCGGTCTCCGCGCGGACGCCCAGTACACCTTCCGAGTGGCCGGCTACAACCAGCTGGGCGTGGGCGCCTACACCGAGCCGCCGCTCGTCGTACGCACCAGCGGTAGGTTCGAGTGGTCGGTCTGCGTCTGAGGTAGAACCTGGCTAGGTACTAGGTAGGTCACAGGACTGGTTAGGAGCAGAGTGAGACAGGTCCCCGGCTGCAGTAAGGACCAGCGATAGGTCAGGGGGTCGGTCTCCACCTTGCGGTAGAACCCTGGTTGATCGGGTCAAGCGGTATAGGTCTGGGGTAGTAAGGACCAGTGGTAGATCTGGGCTGGTCGCCGACTTGCGGTAGAACGCTGGTCTGGCTATTCGAGGCGGATGGGAGATCGACCACATAATTGCATTGCTAATTACTGAGTGATCAGGATCGGTGGGTTGTGTAGCCCTGATCGTATCTGGTCGCTCAGAAATAGACGCCGGCGGTGCGGGTTAATCCAATGGCGGCGTTTGTTTCTGTGATTACCCGGCTGTGTGCCGGGCCGCTATACCCAGTCACTGACCTGCTGTGTTCCTCCCTCACAGGCACTCCGCCGGTGGGCTACGTCACGGACCGGGAGGACTCTGAGGACCGGCTGCCCTACCCCCGGCTGCTGGTCGGCGCCGCCTCCCTCTGCGGCATCGTCTTCCTGGTGGTGCTGAACGCGGTCCTCATCAGCTGCTGCCACTTCCACCGCAAACAGAGCCTCAGACACGGTGAGAAGGAACGCGGACCGACAGCTAACTGACCTCTACCGCAAACAGAGCCTCAGACACGGTGAGAAGGAACGCGGACCGACAGCTAACTGAGCTCCACCGCAAACAGAGCCTCAGACACGGTGAGAAGGAACGCGGATGGCGAATGGTGAAATAGCATATTGGCGAATGATGAAAATTTCAACTGTGCAATTTCTAAGGAATGCAGTATGTTCCGGTGCTCAACTATGCAGTTATGTTCATTATGCACATGACTATTGCATTAGGTATGTTAGTTAGTATAAACTATGAAGGATCATGAAGCACCTTTCGTGTTGTAGGGTCGGAATAGTTCGGCTAGCCGAGCATATTCCTTCCTAACTGAAAGGTGCATCGCTTCGATGTTATTACTTTCAGCGAAAAAATAAGAGCAATAACTCACTCACAATGGAACGATTTGAATTTGGGCTGTTCTTTAATTGATTTCTTAAATGGTTCCAATCTGTCGTACAAGGAAAAATCTAATAAAAACATTTATGAAAGATGGGCGATTTAAGGGTCAGGAAAGGATCATCGGCGCGGCGGATAAATCATCAATCCCTGATCACTCGAGTTGGGCTCGACTACCAGTTCTGAGATTTATTGGGATATAAGGCTGCCGGAACCCCCACATCAAGGGTCCCTTTCGCTCACCTGTATACAGATATATCGGAATAATGTATCACCGTCTCTTGCAACCTTCCCACTGATAAGATCTCGTGGCCATGCCCTTGCCCATGAGACTTCTCGGCATCGTCGTCCACAGCCGTGCGGATGCACTTCCGACTTCACAGATTAGGTACACCAATACGGTACACAGCGGTATTTGCCTACCCAAATGGACAGCATTTTCGCTGGAAGTACTTTTACACCTCTGCTACCTCTCGTGGCTCATGGCACTCGAAAAGATTTTATAGCGATATCAGGACTGGCCGTATTTTATTCATTCAGCCATTTTTTTATCTGCAATCATACAACGATCGCAGCGCTGGCTGCCCGTCAATTTTTCGTTACGCCATTATCGGCCGGATGCGTCGGTGCCAATCGCAGCACCGAGTCGCACCGTCACATCTCATTTCTCGCGGCGTCACAGCTGCAGAGTCGCCGCGTCACGCGACGGGCGGCCGCCGGCCGTGACACTCGCCGGCACCGCCCGGGGCCGTGACATGACGAGCCGCCGCCATAGGCGCTCTGACGTGTTCCGGTTCCGGTGACGCGAACAATTCAGCCCTGCTGAGTGCTAGACGTATCCGGGTACGATGATAGTATACGCAAAAGGGTAATTGCATTCGATTTGGAAATGGTTCTCACATCAATCGTTCAGGAATCGCCTATCCACGGTAATTTAAGTGAATTAAAACGTAAGCGTGATTTACGTCCAAAGTTCGGTGCAACGTTAACCGATAAAAGGTGCGGTTGGTACACATTTTTACTATTTAATATGCACTTTACATACAATTAAAAACGGTATTTTGCTGCGTCCAACCTCGTTTTAGCTCGTTCAAAGTTAGAGACTTTTACCACTCACCGAGGCCCTCGAGACTTTCGATCCCAAAACTGATCACGGTGTTGGGATTGGATTGTCCATAGTCTGTTACCAAGTATCAAGCGTTATTGCACCCTCACAGGAAAACTGTAATCGGCTGAGTGTACCGTTTCTCCGGCTCCCTTTGCCGGTCGACTATCTGCCTAGTGCCTGCCATTAATCCACCCGTCCAAGACGATCCCGTCCAGGAAAGAAAGGCACCTTGATGGTACTGTAACTCTGTTGCATAGCTAGCTCGTTGATCTGAGCTCAAGCAATCTACGCTGAGCTGGTTTTGGCACTCAGCATTGTGTCTCGCCATCCTGCAGTAGCATTGATAACGTTTGTCCGTTCAGCAGCCAGCTAAGACGGTAGAGCGATGGTCTCTCGGTGGTGAGCGCTGGGTCGAGTGTTTCCGGCGCTCTACATAAGTGACTGCTAACGAGGATTTTCTGCGGTTGGTGGAGCCAGTCGCAGGTAGCTGAAGTCTGTCGGTGGGATGAATCGTGTTCGGATGTGTGTTGGACTCACGGGGCATTCCACGTCAAATCGAACAAAAATCGGCTGTTTTGCACCTTACCATCAGCGATTTCATTATAAATTTGTGAGCGAGTTCCTGTGTGGCCCCGGACATTACATTGATGTTTTTTGCACATTCTGACCACAGGTCTTCTAAATATAGGGCATCAAATTTTTACAAAATGTTGCATCTTTATATTTTAGAACGACCATAACTTTGGTTGTACTTGTTTGATTTGAATGAAATAAACCTTACTGTTTAGGTAATTTCTTAAGCATTTGTTTAGAATTGCACCTACTTAAATATATGACCTTGAAATTTGCTTAACTCTGTTTTTAAGCACAAATATTGAAATAGCAAAAAACACGTCACCTTCGATTTGGCTCATTTTCATATATTTTATTGCTTACCATATTCTTAACAACCTGTGAAAAAATTGGAGTGGGCCATTCATAAGTTTTGAAGAAAATTGCACATATGTAAACGTATGTTAGCACGCGCAGTGGAGGGGGAAGAGCGAATTTCGCCCACCCCTCCTGTTTTTCGCCAATATCTCATAAGATTAATGCGAAATTTATTATGGCTACCTGTCAAGAATTGAATTGGACATCTCATCGTGCAAGCAATAAGAAAATCGGTTCACAACTGTTCTAGTAATAGCGGTGTAAAGTGAACATCCTGTCGCCGCAGCGACGCGGCGACTCGGCAGCTGGCGCCGACCGCTACGCGCCGCCTGAATTGTAGACTGTGCCGGGACGGAACGGAACGGTTCCGTCTTTACATCGCGCTCCCTACCGCTGATTACGTTCGATTCGCGTCAAATTTTGTGAGAAGACTAAGAAATGTACAGGCAATCTTATGGTGAAAGAATTTTAAAAATAGGTTGGTAAACAATTAAAATATGAACATGTAAACACAAAATTGTGATTGCTGCGTTTCCCGCATCGGCCGAGCCCGCCTCAGCCGGCGACATGTTACTCTTAGCAGGCCTCTAACTGCCATATTTATTATTGGATTAACTAGAAATTCCCCATACATACAAAACAATGTATGTTCTTTCGTATAGTGAAGATCAAAAGACGTGAAGATATCGTTGCGTGATAATGTTTTCGTTGAATTTACTTCATGATGCATTTCCACACGGCTCAAAATTCACCGCAAAATACCGTTTGCCTGAGACACCTTTACTATGGAACGTGAATGCTTGACTACGATGACTATGCATTTCCATTCTCGTAGAGTTTGGGATATCACTAATCAGCAATCATTCATTTCAGAAAGTGTACACAAGCAAGCATGTCTCGACTCTGTCTTTCAAGGTCACGCGCGGTTGCGTGATGTTGATGCATGAAAACGGCGTTTGCCGCAAAAGTTATGAATGGCCCACTCCAATTTTTTCACAGATGGTTAGGAACATTGTGACGGACATAATATGTAAAAATTACCCAAATCGAAGGTGACGTGTTTTTTGCTATTTAAATTTTTCTGTTTTAATTCAAGGTCAAATGCATTTCAAGGTCACTTCAATTTAATTTTACAATTAAAAATCAAAGCCTTATCAATTGCCTATAAGCCCCTGTTAATATCATTTTGATACCAGAAAAGGAACCAGAGTTATAGCCATTTAAAAAATTGATGTGTGGCATTTTTCGCTATATTCGATGACCTATATCTTAGCGATACGTTATCAAATTTCGAAAATATTATACGTAACTCAGTTTTGAACCATGCCCAGTCTGCCTACAAATTTTCAGAAAAATCGAAGGGGATGACGGATTTCGGTGTTTGATTTGACGTGGAATGCCCCTCACGCTGCACTAATGCTATTCGTTGGCTTCTTAATTATTTCGACAACGCGGAATTAACGATAGAACGGCAGTAGGGGTGGGGCCCTCGCAAGACGTGCTGCGTATGTATGACTTCGTTCTAACAAAAGTCTCGAACCTTTTTTATAGGTCTTTGGACGTCTTTTTACAAAGACTAGCCATTGACTTGACAAATGTCTTTTAGTTCCATTGATGGCGACATGGTTGAACCGAGACTGCCTGTTATCCTCGTACATCTATACGTAATCGACTCGACAGCCAGTAGGCTGGTAGTGGTAGTTATTCTGACGGATATTGGAGTAAAATGCTGACCTCTGTTACCGACTACCGCTGTCACGGTTTAGTTTCGCCGTAAATGGTTGGATAGGATTTAACGGGCAGACGACCCAATTTATCATGATTCATGATAGCCTTCTTTTGTTTTCTCTGTCCGTCCTATCTATCCAAAATAGCACCTGAATGTTCAAATACATGATCCCTGTCAAATGACTGTGTGCGCGAATTTTCGAAGAGTTACCTGACCCGGCTGCCTGCGTTGTCGCCGGTGGTAACGCGCACTCCTCCCTATCCGGACGGGGTGATGACGGTCACGTGACCGTGTTTGGCGGGCGAGTCATGCTCGTGCCCCGGGGGTATATAGGCGGCGGTCGGCCGGCGGGCGCCATCCGATCACGATGCGTCTCTCCACCACGCTGCTGCTGTGCGTGTGCCTGGCGGCCGTTCTGCTGGCCGCAGAGGCTAGTCCCAAGGTGAGCACTACCTACCTGTGTCCCGTCGAATGTAATGAACCGTGCTTTGTTATCTGGTATCTCAAGCTTCTGAAAAGTTGGGCGTGAGCGAAAGATTTGTCGATTATTGATATGCGGAAATTCTTACACAGCATACCCAGTAATATGCCTAGCCTGTTTTACCTGTTTCACCCGACTGGGGAATTAGCAAATGGAAGTGTAGGTATATAATTCTTAGATAAATGTTCTACCATCGTAAAACATGTAGATATTTTCCGCTTATCATTCATTATTTATCCAGTAAGACTTAACTACCTCTTCATGTTCAAAGCAGCCATTGCCTGCTATTCGGGTTGTCCTCACTGACCACCGATGTGTTCTGCACAGCGCGGCCAGAGGGGCGGCAGGGGCCGTGGTCGTGCGGCCAGGCAGCGGGGCGGCGGCGGCAGCTCTTCCGACGAGAGCAGCGCGAGCTCCGAGGAGAGCGGCGCGAGCTCCTCCGAGGAGGACGGCGGTCCTCCGCCCGAGGAAGGCACCACCACCGTGGACCCCGACACCGACACCGTGGACCCCGACACGACTGACGTCGACACCACGACCGATACCGACACCACTCCTCTGACGGCCACTGAGGGTTTCTGAACGGGAGAACCGCCGCGGCTGCTGGTCTGAGGAGCTCGCCACGGGCGGCTGACGCCGGGACACCGACCGACGCACCCGCGGCTGCGGCAGCGACGTTCCAGAGGCGACGGCAGCGGGGTGATCGGTGCTCTTGGGAAGATTCAGCCGCCGATGGACCATCTCCTATCGGACAGTCAACAGTTGTGATCCCTCGCCGACGGCTGCTAGCTACTCCGGGGACGCTTGCCACCTTGTCGGATCTGATGATTGATTTCACAACCTTTCGCAATTCAGATTGCCTTTTGCACGCTTTTTACATTAGTTGATGTTAGCGTCAAAGTTGTTGTTACCCCCCCCCCCCTCCCCTTCGCTTATTTCTCAACCAAAGCTTTTTGAGCCTAGTGCATAGCCGTGTTTTCTTATCTTCACAATTCATACATGTAAATTGTGATGCTGTATTTCGTTCTTTGTCATGCATGACCGGTACTGTAATCGCCTCTGTACGGAAATCTGAAGCAATAAACGCACATGATACCTAATGTGATTCTTTGTCACTGGAAGACCCGACTGTCCCATGTGACCGTTATATGAAACATCACCAATAAAAGGAGGCACGGGGGAATCAAGTTGGTGCGACTAAAGGGCCGTAGCCTATTACCGGCTTACTATACCGTGGATACATAGGTACCTACCTATAGGATAAACAGGTGTGATCAGGAACGAGTTTTCAGCTGGGAAAGAGCCGTCTAAGCACTAAAAACTAAACTTGGATTGCAGCTTTACGGACCGGAACTTGCGAAGGCTGGAGACGATATGATAAAAAGTGTGGAATGTGGATAAAATAACAGATTTGTAACTATTAAAATAAATACGTTTTTTCCAGTTGTCTTGCGAGGCCGTTGTATGACACATGAAATTAAATGGCTAAATTGAGTGTAATTAATCAACCGTACTAAATGTAATAGAATGAAAGGACCACATTAACTTCACTGTAACTGGTGTGTGAGATAAAAATATGCCGCCTATATTTACTGCATCTTAGATCGGACACTGGACAGCATGCTCCGGTTGTTGTTTACTCTGTCGCTTTCCTTAGTTAATAAAAAAGTCACCCAAATCAGCATAAGTTACCAAGGAACAACCAGACGGCTCAGTATAGGACGCATCACCACCTAATTATGTCTTCGGCAATAAAGAACGTGTCATGTGAGAGAACGCATAGCTTGTCGAATTTGTGTATAGCCGTGGATGAAATGTGCCCACCTAACCCATGAAATGCTGTTTCGACCTTTCAGCAGCAGCACGTAGCGAGGCTGGCCGACCGGCGGCGTCGGCGGCCCCGGGGGACCCCGACGGCACCAGCTCCCTCTCGGCCCGGAGCGCGCGCTCAAACTCCATCGGGGACAGCATCGACAAGGTGAATGCGACCGGTGCAGATATATCTGTGGTACTTAGCTCGTAAATTAGTAAATCGTTACTCTTTGACTAAGTAGTTACCTTATAAGTGAGCAAACATTGGCATAGCTACATTAGCTAGCCTATTAGCCCGTGCCGTGACGAGAGAAATGGGCGTCAATCGTCATTAGGCACTGCCCACTGCCCCATTGCCCTCGAATCAGCAGTTGCGACAGAATCATGAACCTTCTCTGCACATGTTGATGTTGTCATCTTTTAGCCTCGTCAAAGTCAGTAAAGTCAGGTCAGCAAGGCATTACATGAAACATTAAACCTGTCTTGCGGACTTCGCTATCTGTGACCTTGGGCTCAGCTCCATGCTCTTCAATCGGACTGCACGGTCACGGCTTTGTGGATTACTGACGTCTGTATTTGCAGCCGGAGGACTGCCGTCTGCTGCCTGACACGGAGCGCGGTCCGTTCCCGACCATCACTGTCGTCCAGCCGGAGGGCCCCGGGGAGGTGGAGCTGATGACTCTGCCGGACCTGCCGCCCCGCCGGGACGGCTCCCCAGACGGTGCGTGGGCGAGGGACGGCCGGCAACACCGTCCCATGACGCTCAATGTTCTGTACAGAAACAAAACTATCACATTAGTCCGATGTAAGAACCGTTAGCAGCTTTTTTAGACCCCGGTTAATGTTGTTAGGTGTAGATGGTTCTCTACGCTGGTTTATCGCTTTGCTCGAACCTGGCTCAAATAATGAAATCATGCTGCCCATCTTCACAATAGAGATACGACTCGCACGCGTAGACACGTCGACAGTTCCGAGCAGAACTGATCCTAAGTGTCAAATCTTTCGAAATTGAGATGCTCATACCATTCGACTCAGCTTATCGAGCTGAGTCGAATGGTATAAAAATCTCAACTTCGAAAAATTTGATATTAGGATGTTCTTGCTCGGAACTGTCGACGTGCACTGTACAGTGAATCCTGTGAATCAAATGACGTTTGTGTGCGGCAGGGGACGACTCGTACGGGTACAGTCACCTGCGGACCCCGACCCCGTTCCGGGATGCGCTGGCCGACAGCGTACCGCCCTCTGTACCGCCGGATGTGACCGTCACTGCCGCCAGCGAGGTGCCGCTGACGCTGAGCCGGGGTCAGCCGCGACCCACCGCCGGGGGCTCCGGGCGGCCCGTCACCCCCCGCTGGAGCGACTCGCAGTGACCCAGTGGATGGACACATAGGGATGTCGGTACTCATAGGACGAGATAGGGATCACAGCTCACAGAGACCGAGCGGACGGTGCCCGCAGCTCACAGTGACACGGCGGACGGGGCCCACGGCTCACAGTGACACGGCAGACGGGGCCCACGGCTCACAGTGACTCGACGGACGAGCCGGGGGGCCCACGGCTCACAGTGACCCGGTGGACGAGTCGGGGGCCACGGCCCACGGACAGACTAGTCGGGGGCCTGCCGACGTCGGAGGAGCGGCGCCGTTCTGACGCTACTCTACATAAGTATATGTGATGTTGTTGGTGATATATGACACTGCTCATGTCTCCGTTGACTCGGAGACAAAACTATTGTGTTGTTCAGCCGGGCTGTTTAGATGCCTGGGATAGCTGAGTTACTGTTGTGCATATTGTAATTGAAGTACGTGTATATGAGGCTGTAATGCGTGACAATGGATTGGTGGAGTATTATTTTCTAACCGTAGTGTCATGTCATGTGTATTGTACACGTCACGACGTGATGATCGCGAGTGAAGTAACGACTCGATGTGTAGTGAGCGAGTGTCTAGCTGAACTAGTCCTTGAGTGATTGTACTGTGTGTACGCAATCATCTGTTTATATTTATCATTTTTAGCAGCTGCCCGATGGTTGAAAACTCAAGAGGGATCTAACGGACAATTGTGGTCAATATGAACAATCAAAATCAATTGTTACATATGATATGGCGCATCATATACAGCAGACGAAAACAACTTATGAGTTTCACATACGAATCCAAACTCAGGTCACTTACCAATGAGCCTAAGAAAGAAATCGATATTTGTGATTAGGGGAGAACGGGGCGATTTGGCCGCCCTTTTGTAAAAACGATATTTTGAGAAAACCAGTGTGCGTTTGGTCGATTTCTCCATGGAGGGGTGTGGGGCGTTCAATTGTTGTTCCGGCATATTACTTGCATCATGCCGGGACATCTCGTTTCGGTAGTAATTAACTGTTCTTTCAAAGACTGCACGGCGGCCAAATGACCCCGGTACCGGGGTCATTTGGCCGGGGGAGTGGGGTCATTTGGCCGGGCATGAGATTCAGAGATATACCCATTACAGAGCTGAGACAACCTGAAATATTGACGCCCAAGATTGTGCTTAACTCATGAATTCTGGATTAACTCGACGCATGACTGATGTGACGATCCAGATGCCCCAATGCTGACACAAATGATGAGTATCGTGACTCATCTTTGATTCACCTGAAATCAAATTTTTCAAGAGACTAGGCTTGCACTCGATTCATTTGAATCAGTGCAAGTGAGGATCCACATTTGATTTACGAACTTACGACTCATGAGTTGAGCACTGCCCAGTGATAACAACAGCCAACTGTAATGGCTGCCAAATCGTAGATTGCTTTAGACGACAATCACACTGCAAAAAAGTCCTTTGTGTACGAGTTGTTTGTTTATTTCAAACTCTGTCGTAAACATGAAATAAAAACGATTCCAGCAGGCCCCGTCTTCGACCCAGCACTTAAACACATTCACTGTAAAATACGGTCCCAACGGCATGGATGTCCAGTCATCACTGCGCTTCACTGTTTTTCACCTTTGCGCCCCTGTTTCTTCGACGGTCCAGCTCCCGACGTTCGATGGTTCGACGTCCAGCTCCCGAAGTTCGATGGTTCGACGGTCCAGCTTGTGGACCCCGCTTTTTGCTCCTCGCCATACGTGCCTGTTGCTCGCCCTCCAAAGTCGTCCGCTCCGGGCTGTTAGTCATGATTTTAGAACGCCCTTTCCTCCGACCGGCTTTTTGAACGTTGATGCGCAGCTGCGGAAGTGGTCGGATGGACTCTGGGCTTCCAACAAGCAACTAAGACACTGCGACAGCAGACGGCTGGAGCACGGCCGCGGCAGGCAGCTGGAGCACGGCCGGCCCCGGGGCTGGCGGCTGGAGCACAACCGAGACTGGCGGCTGGAGCACGGCCGAGGCTGGCGGCTGGAGCACGGCCGGGGCCGCGGCGTGCTGATCTGCCGTCGCTGGGGCGACGACCGGTGCGAAGACCGCCGTCGGCGCAGTCTTCGTCGTCGGAGATATCCCGGTTGAGCGGCGATATCCCGGCTGCTTCGAATCCCTTAAGGATGTTCTTCCGCGTGAAGGTGGCGTCTTAGGCACGACGAAAAATCGGCGCCACCTGGTAGAGGTCGATGTGACGTCCCGGGTTCACCATCTGCCGCTGGGTGCCGAAAGCCAATCAGCGGACACCTTGGTTAGGTCGTCCCTTGCATTTAGACTCCGCCGCATTACCATCCTCAGTGGCAGAACTTAGCCAGCGCAGCGCGTCGCTCGCAGACTAGGCAAAAAATCAACTGAGTCGCTGGGCGGCCAATTCGCCCCGTATGGGGCGGCCAATTTACCCCAATATGACATTTTTAGGAAAAGGGGTCCGCAGACAAGCAAAAATTGTTACTTAAACTTGCAAAAGGGTCAGACAGCGTCCTGAATTACTAGATTATTCTACCAATAGAGTTAAAATTTTGATGTCACCCAAATAAGGGACACCATGCAACTTTTCGTAAAGAAGAAAAAGTTACGTTTTTTAGCCAAAATTCAAATATCGTTGGCTTTACAAAAAAAACTGGGCGTCGCCGAGTTTCCTTAGTTTCTTTCCAAAGTAGTTCTTATGACGGCGGATGATGCCATATTAAAAAATAATCGCTCGGGACCGTCAAAACGCGTAGGCATGGGGCGGCCAAAGTGACCCGGGCGGCCAAATGACCCCGCTCTCCCCTACTCGGGTCATTTTCAACTCGTGTAGATGAGGACGACCTCCATTCAAGTATCGGCGATGAAATCTCGTTTACAGTTACTTTGTCGAAAATCATGAATATTCATTGACGATCAGCAACATTCGCTTGAGTCACGGTTAGACGGGATACACAAGTGTTATGTGGTGGCTGTTGCACTCACTTGCTGATTGCATTGCCCACGTTCCCCTCGAACAAAAGTTGGCGGCTGACGGCCGGTTGGAATTCCATCCGTAGGTACGGCGATACTGAACGCAAATCGAGCCGTGACCGTCGCGAGCTAAGGTCATTACTTTGACGACTCAGGGGCCCGGTCCCTGAAAGGGCGAACGGCAGTATTGGTATTGTTACGCAAGCATATGTCGAGTTCTTTTTTTTGTCATTTCTTTGCCAGCTGTGCGTGTGTGATGGCAATACACCAGCGAAGTTGTCTTTGAATGACTCGGTGTCTCACGAAGTGTCTTCGGTAACAAAACTTGCAATTAGCACGCCGCTACTGTCACTACGTAGTACGTAGCAAAATGATATAAAATGCACGAAATGTTATAACATTGCCTAATGATCGATGTCGGTACTCATTAGTAAACGCATGTTTGTCAACATTATAAATTACCACTTTTATTCACAACCACACACATGGGCGAAACGTGAAACAGCATGCCGGAATCATTTTTGTCTGCATTTCACCGCACCGGAAAACTCGGAATCTCAACGTATCACATCTCCGCTGTCAGTTCTCCTCTAAAAGCTAAATAAAGAGCAGTGACTTTCTTTGGCCTATGTCACCATATCCACCCCAAAACAATGCCCTGATACTGTCGCCGATAGAGATTCTACCGACGGGCAACCAGGAAAACTGTGGAGCATGGACACCACCAGATGTTGGACATGAGCTTTGAGGGAATTCGCTAGGACACGGGAAGAAAAGAACTCACCAACAATGCGCCCACCTTTTCTGAACCCAAACAATTCCAAAATAATTCGACCTAAACCCGATAAAACAATACAAGCTACACCCTAGTGAAGTTCCTTATTTCTTCCCCTTTTTACTAGATTTCGAAGTGGGTTTGTCCGAAGCGGGCGAAGGGGTAGCGATTCCTGCTGCCACCGAGGCGGTCGGCAAGCTGCTTCTTCAAGTCGAGCAATATCGTCACCTGAGCCTGCACCTCGTCCTTGGGAGCTTTAGCCGCCTTCAGGTTGCGTACCACGTCACCTTGTTTTGCTACTTCTTGTTCCAGCCGAGTCACATCTGCCTTGCTGTCTGTTCCCGAACTGTCTCCGGCCGCCGCTGTGGCGTCGGCCAACTGCTTCTTCAAGTCGAGAAGCACTTTCACCTGAGCCTGCACCTCATCCTTGGGAGCTTTGGCTGCCTTCAGCTGGCGCACGATGTCCCCTTGTTTTGCCACTGACTGCTCGAGTTGGCTTACGTCTGCCTTGCCGGCTGTGCCCGAACTTTCCGCGGCCGCCGCTGTGGCGTCAGCCAGCTGCTTCTTTAGGTCGAGAAGCACTTTCACCTGCGCCTGCACCTCATCTTTTGACGCCTTGGCCGCCTTTAGTTTCCGTACGATGTCACCCTGCTTTGTCACTTCTTGTTCGAGCCGGGACACGTCCGCCGCTCCACTGCCCGCCGGCGCCGGCTTCTGCTGCTGCTGCTGGCCCTGGTACTTTTGACGCAGTTCTTCGATGCGAGCCGGCACCAGCTTCTCGAAGAGTGGTGCTGGCTCGCCTATCCGATGACCAGCTGGCAGCATGCATACAAAGGTATCGGCTAGAGCATTGACGCTGACTGGGGCGTTCAGCTGGGTCTGGATGGTGGCCGAAGTTTGCGGCATGTACGGCTGAAGCATCACGGACAAGAGGCACGTGATGTTGGCCGAGAGCGCGATCACTGTGCCGGCGCGGAGCCTCTCCGCTTCAGACCCTTTCACCAGCACCCATGGCTGGCTCGCCTGCATGTACTGGTTGCCAAGCCGAGAGATGTTGAGGATGTGTCGGATGGCATCACGCAGCGTGGCAGCCTCCAGAAGTGCCAGGTAGCGGCGCAGTTCACGTGCGACCTTGCCAATCAACTGGCGCTCCTCCACCTGTATGTCCATTTCTGGCACCTGACCACCAAAGCAACGCTGGCAGAACGACAGCGAGCGGTTGACGAAGTTGCCCAGGTTGTTGAGCAGCTCAGAGTTGTTCTTGGTCATGAGGTCGGTCCACGAGAAGGCGGCATCTTGGTTCTCCGGCCGAACGTACAGCAGGTAGAAGCGCCAGATGTCACTGGGAATCCCAGTGTCGCGGGCGTCGTTTCCGAACACGCCGACGCCACGGGACTTGCTGAACTTGCCTTCTTCGTAGTTCAGATATTCTGTTGCCATCAGGTGAGAGACCATGGTGTAGGGACGTCCAGTGGCGAGCAGGCACGCCGGGAACACCACCGCATGGAACGGCACGTTGTCCTTGGCCATGAACTGGTAGTAGGTGACGTCACCGGGAGCTTCCCACCAGCGACGCCACTCGGCTGTGTACTGTGCGGTCATGCTGATGTAGCCAATCGGAGCGTCGAACCACACGTAGAACACCTTGTCCTCATAGCCGGGCAGGGGTACGGGCGTACCCCAGCGCAGGTCGCGGGTGATGCAACGGGGCTTCAGTCCGTCCCGCAGCCACGAGTTGCCAATGACTCGCGCGTTGGACGTCCACTGCGGTGATGCTGTCTTGAACCACGCGCGCAGCGGGGCCTCCACCTTGGGTAGGTCGAGGAAAATGTGACGACTGCTGCGCACTTCGGGTGGCGCCGAGCACAGCTTACAACGCGGCGATTTGAGCTCCACGGCGTTGATCAGCTTGCCACACTTGTCGCACTGGTCGCCACGCGCGTCGTCGTACCCACAGAGCGGGCAGACACCCTCCACGAACCGGTCGGCGAGGAAACGGTCGCACTTGCTACAGAACAGCTGTTCCATCACATCTTCTGTGGTAAACCCGTTCTCGTGAACGGCCTTGAAGATATCCTGAGTGATTTGCGTTTGCTCTTTCGTGGTAGTGCGACCAAAGTGGTCGAAGCTGATATTAAACCACTCGTAGATGCCCCGGTGCAGCTCATTGTACTTGTCGCAGATCTGCTGTGGGGTAAGGCCTTCTTGGATTGCCTTGGTCTCAGTCGCCGTGCCATACTCGTCCGTACCACACACATATAGAGTGGTGTAGCCTCGCAACCGACAGAATCGGGCGAAAACATCTGCGGACAGCACGCAGCCGATGATGTTGCCGAGGTGGGGCACGTTGTTGACGTACGGAAGGGCCGAGGTAATGAGGACATTTCGAGAGTTCTTCTGCGGCAGCACAGGAGCCTTCCGCTCTCGCGGAGTCGGCGCCGAACCTGGCCCGGCAAGGAAAGCCTTCACCGCGACGTCGACCTCTTCCGTCGATATATCCTCCTCCGGTTCTCGCTCCGTCGCTGGGTCAGCCGGGGAGTTTTGTACCGAAACCGGTTTCGTCTTCGCGGGACTTCCCTTGCCACCTTTGCCCGATGCCTTCTTCCCCTGCTTAGATGCCCCTTTGGTATCTCCATTGCTTGGATCGGCTGGGCCGTTTGCTGTCGCGGGCTGAGCTGTGTCTAGTCCGATGACCGGCAAATTAGTGGCCAAGACGGCAGAACGGCTAGCCTCCACAGACTCTTTGCCATAGAGCCGACGGAGCGCAGCGCTGCAGCTCGCGGTCTTGCCTACTGCCTCAAGTCGGGCGGCGAGGGCCGGTGGCAGCGTCACGTGCTTACCACCATCCAGCTCCAGCAGCGGCTGCAGAGTACTCCAGATGACGGCCCCGGCGGCCTCCGGCAGAGCTCCAGCGTCTGTCAGCTTCTGCAGGGCGGCGGCGAGCGCGGCGGCCGCCGCCGGGTCAGTGCGGCCGGCCAGCGCTGCCTGCAGCCGGCGCAGCGCCAGCGGCTGCAGCACGCGGCCATCCCAGCTGAGCCACAGCTCGAGGTCGGCGTCCCCGGCAGCAGAGAGCAGGTGGCGAGCCGCGGCAGACGGGGAGAACAGCACACCACCATCGGAGGTGAGCAGCACAGGTAGACCAGCAAGGGAGCAGCGCCACACAGGGTCATCCGGTCCACTAGGTGTTTGGACAGTCAGGGGCTGTTTACTCAACTCAGCAGCTACCAACACCTTCAATGACACTGGATGGAACTCTGGGGCCACCAGTATGTGTTTCCTGTCACCCATGATCTCTGAAAAT